GACCTGCCACGCCCCATCGTAATACATTGCGGTTGGGATGTTGCATGTTTGTGGGCGCTCGCTGCGTTTTTATTTTTTTCTTTTATACTTAAAAATTTTATTTTTTAAAGGGTATAATGTTTAAAAACTTATTTTTTAGGTACAAATTATAAAAAGTAAATGCTATAAGTTATAAGACTTTATTGAATTTTATGAATGAATGAAGAATGAATTTTAATTTTTTAAACGATTTTCAGCACAACAGAGTTTCCTGTTTCTTATTATTAAAAAATATTTAATAGATTTTAATGGATATTCCAATGTCCGTACCATATCATACTTCCATCCAACATTTTAAAATTTTTATTTTGTTTGCCCGGCGCCATCGTTCGCATGCACGGCAAGGATTTCTCTGCTTAATTTGTGGTTTTCAACCAAACAGAACAACGAGCAGCGATGGACGAGGTCTGGCAGATGGCGGAAAAGTGCTGGGAAGAGGAGCACCACCAGGAGCTAACCAACTGGTCAACAGCAATTGCAATTGCAATTGAGGTTGCAGTCGCACGAATATTCCAGGAAACCCTTAAATATGATTATGGCATACAAAAGGCCTATGGAGTTGCAGCTGGCAGAGGCGGTGTCCGCGACGAGGGGTCTGGGGGTACGGATTTTTTGGCCATCTTCTCTGGAATCTCCCTTCGTCTGTGGAGGCCACAAATTTCCCCGAACTTGATTTAATTGTCACACATTACGGAACCACAATTACATAGAAAAATGCACCAGGCAGCCAGCCAGCGGAAATGGCAACAATGCAAATGGCAAAGCACCAACTGCAACATTACAAAACAGTAGGAACAACAAATAATAATCAACTGCGGCCACCAGGACCTTTATCCCCCCACTGTTTCCCCCTCTTTGACTTGGTGAAAATAAAATGCGCCATTTGCAATTGTAGTTTATTTTAATACCGCAATTAGTGTTGTTTTCTGGGCAGAGTGGAGGTTCGTGGTTAGAGGACACGCAAAGAATGCTGAAGGTGGGAGCTGGGAGCTGGGAGGGGTTCTCTCATGTTGCCACACCATTTGAGGTGCACCAAAGCTGCCGCAGAGGCAGTCCCGCTGCATTCACATCGCACAAAATGGAATGCATCATAACTAAATCAGAAAATCATGCCATTTACCAATCGCTTTTCCATTTTATTGATTACTCTCGCTTTGAAGAGCCCTCCAATTGTCTGGCCATTTGCCATTACACAATACATACATACATATATCTGAGGGGAGCCGCTGTTAATTGATTTTTAAGTGCCAACTACAATCAGGTGCTCAGGTACGCACCAGGTGACACAGGCTTATATTATGGTAAACCAGGATCCAATAAAAAAATGCTTAACATGGGTAATCAGAGATGCATCATATACTTTTGAAAAAAATCCAGACTATTAAATGCTCTGGAAAAAATATTACTAAAATATCTAACCCATCGCAATATAGTAATTTGCATGATTTATTGAAAATGCATTTTGTCAAATTTGTTGATAATCAAGTATGAAAATTGGATAGTTAATTGATGGAAAAGCACCCGATGATTACACTCCTGTCAGTTTTATTTTTTGTGTCCCCTGTGAAAGGGGTGTAATCACATTTTATGTTGAATGCACTTAATTTTTTGCCTCAACTAAATGCCAATTAAAATTCGTAATTATTTTTTAATGGCATTTTGTGGTCAATATATCGTACGGATGGCGATGATTGCGACGCGGCGCAGCGAAGCGAAAAGGACTCGTCAACTTTGACGACGGGGATGCCGTTGGTGACAATTCGCATTTATGGACGAGCTAATGGCCAGTATCGATGTCAATGGCATGACTTGTCAAAGCGGCGCCCGCCTAAAAGAAAAGTGCCTTTCACATGTTTGCCTCCGCACTCTAGCTCCCCTCTCTCGTGTAAAATTGCAAGCAATTGCAGTTCAAACAAGGATTCGCAATAAGTATACCCCAGCACGATGTCCTGCAGCTATATATGTATGTATGGTTGCCTCAATGAAATTTTCGAGCAATCATCACCATCAACATTTCGTAGAGGACTCGGCAACAACATGCCGCAAGTGACAATCATTTATATTTAATAAACAACTAACGCATGCAGGGTAAGTACAGCCAAAGACAAAAAAATAGGTTCGAAAGCGATTTATTTTCTTAGGGAGAAACCAATATCGATGAAAGAACTAATCTGCCTCCTGCAGTTGTAGGACCAACTCGGAAAAACAACAGCAAGATGACGAGACTAAGCGGCCATTGTCTGCGTCCGCCCTGGCAGCCATCCTTGGATGGCCTTCCCTCCTCCGCCGCCGTGGAAATTGTTTATCATGCATTTTGTTCGATTCCGAGTCGAGGCGTCTGAATAATGCAGCAGGTACGGGTAGTACACGGTGATGGAAAAGTGGAAAAGTGGGGGCGGTCAAATAAATAAGCGAGCATGGACGGCAAAGACGAAAACAAAATGGGGCAGAAAACAACAAAAAGGCAACAATGCTGCAGACACAAAACCGTTTCGAACCGAATCGCTTTGGGCGGCATTCAAATTGAATATTGAAAGCATCGAGCACAAAACTGCCAAACGCTTGAATTATGCATTAATGATGTCTACCTACCACAGTGAAGGACAATGGGGGTGTACCTAGTGTCGGGGCTGAAGGGTTTCCACTTCTTTTTTTTTCTTTTTTTTTTTTACTTTTGTGGAAAGACAAGAGCAACGCTGGCCAATGCTTATTAATTTTTTATGCGTCTGCTATTTTTATGACCAACATGAAAGCGTTTGCCGCAAGCATTTTATTTTCCTCAACGTTTTTGTGCAGCTTTCAATAGTTATTCACGGACATTTTCATTTGCGTTAGACACACACTCCTGTTAAGGACAATTGAGTCCTTAACGCGAAACAATACATATATAGATATTGATGGTAAATGGTAATTTTTACCTCTAATTTTTTCCCCCATTTTAATGATTGATCTTTTTTTGGACACTTTTTTAAGGTTCTAAATCCCTATTGTTGTATTTTTTGAAACCATATTTTCCATTCGGCTTAATATTGTGTATCCGCCGTGGTGGAGTGAATTTTAGCATCCAGGACGAACTTGACAATGGCCGTCAATAAATCGGGGCGATATCCGAGGACAGAAAAGACGTTAATTACCAGCATTACCGCGAAGCCGACTATCAGCCGCACAAATCAGCGGTAACAGGGGTATTGGAAAACGGGTAACCTGATGCAGATGCAGCGTGTGCGCGAGGCAATGGAAAACTCATTACATGCCACAGGAACCAGGAGCCAGGAGACACGCCCGCACGCAGAGCGACCGCAACATGCTGTAATGCGTGGCCCCATCATCATTTGCATGCTGTTTCTGCCGATACTTAAAGTCAACAGGCGATATACGGGGTCCTGCAGAGCTGCAATGCCACAGGACAAACTTAATGTCAACACGCTAATCTGTCACTCGGCGAGGAGCTCGGATCTGGGATTGGGGATTGGAAAGGATCTGCCACAATGTCGGGCTACTTAAGGAGCACTATGCCGACGCGCATGGCTGCCCAGGAGCTAAAGGATAACGAGTTTGGAAGCCAAAAGACACACTAAACACTAAAAATAATAATTTACACCAAAATTTCTATAAATATTTAATAATAAAATATAATTCGATTTTTTTACTCTTTACAATTTAAAAAAAAAAGCCCTTTACTTTCTTTAAAAAAAACAATAAACTTCCCTTGTCAAGAGTGGCCTTTGAGACGGTGCAACAATAACATCCTGGATCCTTTGAAATGACAAAAATTTGTTGCCTTCAGTGGGGCTTGACGCCTGACTTGCCAGGAGACACTTGCGGGCACCACAAGACAAGCTAACTCACCTCCGTACACATCCCCAGTACATTGCCTGGCCAACCACCCATTACCCACCTCATCCTCGGAGGACGCGCCTTATCAACTATGCAGGGCTTTGTCTCTAAGCGATTGCAGCCGCCCCCTTTTTTTCGGGCCAACCTGTTTCCTCTCCAGGCAGCGTCTTTTGTTGCGCTTAATGAATTTTACGTAAATTTTACGAGCGCTGATTTCTGGCGCTGAGCACTGCCACCCCAGCTATTAATCCACACTTTAGTGGAAGCACCACCCCCAGTGGGTGGGTGGGCTCTCTGAATAGGATAGATAGTGAGTGAATGGGTGGGTGGGTGTGAGCGGTGGCTGGTTCCCCATGTTTTTGTGTGTGTAATGACAAGTTCAACAACAACTTGGCATTGTCGACTGGTGACGAGGACGACGTGCTCCGACATTTGTTTGCCCAAGTTATGCAAATATTTTTCCAGTCAAGAAGTTTTTGTTTAATTGCATATTTTGACTCGCATTACGCGTGTCATAAAGCACGGATGCGAAGCTTACCGCACAAATTGGGGGTAGACTACGCACAGTAAATATTATTCACAAATTTTAGAAGTCCTTCTTCAATTTTAAATTAACTATCACTGGAAGACAAAGCTTTGTCATTAATGTTCAAATAAGCCCGCCATAATTTATGTCTTTCCAGAGAATACCATTTGATTTTATAATTCATAGAGTATGGTAGTGTATTAAGGATATGTTTGGAGGGACAAAGAAAACAGGATCATCCTTCATTTGAGTTACCAGCTCAAAGGGGTAATTATAGTTACAAAACTTATTTTCGGAAAAATGTATGATATATAGCTTTCAAAGTAACTTTCTTTTCTTGTCCTTTGAGGGCAATATTTTAGGTACCTTTTTGTAATTAATTATTGTAGTTTCATAAGAAAAATAATAGCTCATTAAATTTTAACGTTAATGAACCTGATTTTAAATTTGAATTTGAATAAATGGGGTCGATAGTTCATTTACGCACACCTTTCTTTTTTCGCCATCCCTGACAGATCCACTTTCTTTCAATCAAGTGAAATGACAGTCTGTCTCCCCACTTCTTCAAGAACTTTCTTTCCGGTTGGACGAACCAAGTATGACAAGTGCAGAAAAATATATTTTCACGGAACTGGAAGCAGCTACTCTACTGTCGGTGACCGAGGAAAATGGAGTAGTGACTACCATCTATGTTGCACCATGCACCATGGAGGAGGATCTTCTGGAGCCCGAATTTTTTCCGGAGGATAACCAACTGATGTACCACTGTCCCTACTGTGCCTGTGCTATCCGTTCAGCAAAAGCTTTCAAAGTTCATCTTAAGGCCTGCCGCAAGGACAACAAAAACAAGAAGGAGGATGACAAGCAAAAAAAAGAAAATGAGAAGGATGAAATATATCAGTGCATAGTGTGTGACCAAGACTTTGAGTCAATCGCACACCTCTACTGCCACATATTGGTGCACGAAACCTCATTTGAGGCCCTTCGCTGCGGATCCTGCAACGTAAAGTTTGAAACCGACCAGGAGTACCAGGCCCACTTGAAAAGTCATCTAGAGCCCGAGCCGGAAGAGCTGGAAACGGAGAGCAGCGTTACCAAAAGTTTTGATTGTATTTTATGCGGAAAGCACTTCCTAGCCACATTCCGACTAGGCCATGTCACCCATCGCTACGCCTGCGACAATTGCTTAAAGAATCACAAGACCAAGGAATCGAATGGAATTCCGACGCTTCCAGCCCAGGAGAAGCCGGAGTGGACATGCGATCGTTGTGGACGTGTGTACAAGCTGGAGGGGTTTCTCTTAAGACACAAGAACCATTGTCAAGGACGCAAGACGAGGAAGGCTCGCCAATACAAAGTTCATAAAAGCGACTTTTTTTGAAGAGTAATACTCATTTAACGCTGCAATAATTGAAATTTATAATTAAATTGTAAAATTATTGATAGAACTAGTTATAAAATACCTTAATTAGTTGACATTATTAAATGAGTAATGAAGAGAGATTAAAGGAGTGACTATGCAGTTTTCGAAGCGAATTCAAATTCGAGCGCCAAACTCTCTTAGCGTTAGGGTTTTTAAAATTAGTGTTAGCCAACACTGTATAATCTTTTTCGTTGGTTTTTTAACACTACACGTGTGATTGTTTTCTGAAATTTACGAATTTTTCCGTAAATAAAACACAATTTAAGCTAACTAACATGAGTTCAGACGAGTCCAGCGATGGCATGGAGGAGCTTAAGGAACTTATGGCTCTATATGGCCATGAAAAAGAAGAAAAGGAAGGCGCCAAGAAACCCTATGTTCCGAAAGCCTCGCAGGCAAAGGCATTGAACTATATGGAGGTGCCGATGGAAAAGGTGATCCTGGGCGACAAGCAGAGGTTTCTTTCAAACCTGGCCAAATCCGTAGGTGCTAAGTGGAGTCACAGCGATGAAGATGAGGAGAAGGATCAGTCAGCTGGCCAAGATAAAGCCGGAAACAAAAGGAAACCCGCCTGGTCGGATTCTGATGATGAAGACCTCAAAGTGGGTGACGTCAAAAAGCAAACCAAGCACACAGGGCCTCTGAACCACTTGCGCAAGGACAAATCCTATAAGGAGTACCTCACAGCACGATTCCAGCGAACTCTGAATCAGCCGAAATGGGCTGAGAAGAAAGCGAAGAACTCTGAGGATGAATATGCCTCCTCCGAGGAAGAACTCCTTCAAACCGTGGGCTTCATCGATCACAAGGCTAAGCGGTTGGACCTGTTACCCAAAACGCTTGCCTTTAAACGTGTAAAGGACTTGAATCGATCAACCTACTCCGAAGGCGTGCCCAGCAGCGTCCAGTTCCATCCCACAAGCACGGCTGCCCTGGTTTCGGGTGCGAACAGCGTGGCAACCATCTACACTGTGGACGGGCAGAAAAACGAGAAGCTACACAGCATGCGCTTCAAGAAGTTCCCACTCATCTGTACCCGGATTGCACCCTGTGGCACCAAGGCGTTTTTCGGCTCCGTCCGAAAGTTCTACTTCTCTTACGATCTTCTGGAGGCGACCGAATTAAAGCTTACGCTGCCAGGCGATATGGAAACCATGCACAGTTTCGAGGTGTCTCCATGTGGAAAGTTCATTATCGCCGCTGGAAAGTTTGGAGCGATTCACTTGCTGACCGCGAACACCAACGAACTACTGCACAGCTTCAAACAGGAGGGCGGCGTGCGCGGATTATGCTGGACAAGTGACTCGAAGAGGGTTCTGGTGGTCGGCGCTAGCACTAATGTGAATGTGCTAAGCTTGCGGCAGAATGTGATCGAACACAGTTTCCTCGACGATGGCTGCATCCACGGACAAGTCGTCCGACTTTCGCCCAACCAACGGCTTTTGGCCACCGGCAGCGACGAGGGCGTCGTTAATGTCTACGATTATGAATGTGTTTACACCTCAAGCGCACCTCAGCCGGAGAAGAGCTTCCTGAACCTAAGAACAGGCATCAAGGATCTGCAGTTCAATCACACCTCGGAGTTACTAGCCATGTCTTCCAACAAGGCCCCGAATTGTGTAAAATTGGCCCATTTCCCCAGTGCCACCGTGTACTCCAACTTCCCCAGCCAGAACGACAGCGTGGGCTTTGTCACCTCCATGTCCTTTTCGCCGCACAGCAGCTTCTTGGCCTTTGCTACAAAATATAAATACGTGCCGCTCTTTAGGCTTAAATACTTCAAGAACTATTAGCTTTTAATCCGGAGATGTGTACATTTTATAAAAGTTGTATGTAATTAAATACTTCTCGAGTCCCCTAATTTGAAATCACCTTTTTTTTATTCGTTTCTTAAGGACTTCCAACCGAGGTTGGTTACAAGTTAACAGTTTCAATTCTAAATCGCGCTAAAAGGGAGCCCTGAATATGTCCCGCTTCTGGGTGTCTTGGATCTTTCCAATGTCGTCCAGCTTCCGGCAGATATTCGACGACTGGGACTCGATCCACTGCAGCGAACTCATGTGGGCATTTAAGATCTTGCCAATTTGGATAATCGGGTCGGTGGTGTCCTGGCCCTTGTTGGCCTCGTTCAGGTTATCGATAATCTCCTTCAAATCCTCGGACATTTGCTTCAACTGCGTGTCCAGGTTTTCCACCATCAGATATGTGTGACTGCGCTCCATATCGACGCGCGGTAGGTTCACGAATTCTTTCTCGAGGGGCGCCAGGCTTTCCTCCAGCTCCTTATGCTGCGTGGCTATGAACTCCAGTTCCTGGTCCAACACCTGCTGATCGGTCTTCACCTTCTTCACAGCATCGTTCAGCTCCACGATCTTTTGGTTGTTGCTGATGAGCAGCTTGTCCCAAGCATTAATCTGTGTCGCCTGCTCGGTAAACACCTTCTCCTGCTCCTCAAACTCCAGAGTCCACTTGTTTATGTGCTCTTCCAGTTGATTATAGGATAGCTGATTAGCAGTAGATACTGCCGAGGAATCCGTGGTCTTTGTTTCGGTGGTTAGATTAGCAAAGGCACCTCCAGTGCTCAGAGTAGGCACTGCTGCTGCTGCAGTCTGTGGAGCCACAGCCGTAGGAGCTGCAGTCAAGCTAGTGGCAGAAGGGGCGGTACTCTTTGGCGCTCCCAGTCCCGATAGCAATCCTGTTGTGGGAGTGGCCGCGACGGGAGCTGCAGTCGATGCAGCTGGCGCAGCTGCTGCAGCAGGTTGTGACAGGAATCCTCCAAAGGCCGGTGCAGCTGCCGTGGTCCCGACCGCTGGAGTTGCTGTTGAGACAGGATTTTTTGGCGCGCCTCCCAAGCTAAGAGCGGGGGTAGATGTCGCACCTCCGCCTAAACCAAAACCACTGAATGGTGGTGGATTTTGTGCTTTTTTGGTATCCGCATCCCCTCCTCCAAGATTTATGGTCGCCGCTGGGGCTGCGAAGGCGAATGTGGGTTTTGTGGCGGGAACAGCGCCGGCAGCTCCCAGACCACCAGCTGGTGAGGCTGTTCCGGTGCTCAGACCAAAGGAAAACGAGGGCGCCGCTGCTGTCGGGGCGCTTGTGGTTGTTGGCAATTGAAATGCCATGATTAAAACAAAGAAAACTGACAAAAATTAGAAAAATTCGATCAAACGAAAATCACGCCAAATTATCCAGTGAGACCGTAATGTCAAATTCCTTTGGGCAGTGCTGGAAAATGTTTTGATAGAATTCTCTATAAATAGGTTGGCAGTTCCGAGCAGTTGGCAACTCAATTTCCGTTAATTCAAATATTGTCTTAGAAGTGTGAATTTTAATTTTATATTATAAATTAATATGTTTATTTGGTACCATCATACGATTTTTGATTATCCAATTCACATTCTGTTTATCTCTTTTTTTTAATAAATTACTTCCGTTGTTACTTCGTAATACCCTAATAAAAATGTTTTTTAAAATATATCTTTAACTTTCAATTTTCTTTAACTACTATATTAACTTTTTATTTTTATTGACCAATTTTAAAACATCTTTTAATTGATTTATTGCAATTTTTACCAAGTAAACATATATTTTACACCTCTATTGACTTGAATGGAGAAAATAAAACACATGGCAGTACCTGAAAATTGTAAAACTAAAATAAACTTTTATATGCAATTGCTTTCTATTATTTAAATTAATGTACAGCTTTTTTTAGATTAAAAACCATCGGTATAGTAGACCTCCGGCAGGTCTTCCTTCCATGTCCACACTATTTTCCGGGTATTTTTTAGTCGCAGATTGACGGCGTAGGAAGAAAATGTTTAAAGCTTAAATATAAGCGGTATAAATCGAGTTTAAAAAACATAATTTTAACCGCCAATTGCTTAATAAATAAAATCAATAATCACGGCGAACTAAACTCTAATTTGTAACCTTTTGCTATCTGTAAGTGGAGACTGTGATAAGACGACATTTGGGTCAAGAGTTTAATTAGAAAAAACCTGGAGTGCAACGACACCTGGTAGGTAATTGCATTTGCAAGCTCAGCAAATAGGTCAAAAACGTCAAATATTCAGAAAAATACGAATAAAAACTAATTTACATGAAGATTTCCTAAGGTCTAGGGATAATTAGGGATAGGGATAATTAAGCTTCAGCAAACAGTCCTTTTATAAGGATTGTCTTTGTGGAATAACCTTTTTTTTTAATAATTCCAAAAGCTCCTGAACTTTGTAGTCCAGTTTGAGTCGCAAATAGCCCAGCAATTGAACAACAAAAGCATATCAGAAAGCCGCTGTTGCCTTTCGCTCCTCGCCCTGGTTTGCTCCCTGGGTGATCGCTGTGAACTTGGCGAGATAAGAGGCTCCTCCTGTAATCGAAAGCCTGCTGCTTGTTCCACCCGACGAACACCAAATCAGTCGATGGGTGTACTCCACTGCAATAGCAATTAGCCAACCTAACCTTCTAGCGGGTCTTGTGCTCCTCCTCCATCTCCACCTTCTTTTCGGGTTCTTAAGACTACCTCCCCCCCACCCAAGACCACTTCAACGGTGGCAAACACACTTATCTGAAGTGCACCCGCCAGAAAATATAAATTCTCGACCATCCCACAGACCAGGATTCAGTCGGTGCTCAATGCTCGCGATGTACGGAACTTGTAGCTGTCTTCTGGGTGGGATTCTCCTCCTGCAATTGCTCAGAAGTGGGCAGGCTTTGGATAATGGTCTAGCACGAACGTAAGTCGGATCTTTTATTGATTATCCTAGTGGCTAATAATTCACTTCTCTGTAGGCCACCCATGGGTTGGATGTCCTGGGAGCGGTAAGGTCCTAGTAGATTAATTTAAGATTACTAACTATATTAATTAAATTTTTAATTAATTAAATCTTTAGCTTCCGTTGTATCACAGATTGTGAGCTTTACCCCAACGAGTGCATCAGGTACTTCCATAATATTATTCAACTTCAAGGTGATTTAATGAGATTTCTTTTATTTTTTAGTGAGAAACTATTCTCACGCCATGCTGACCTTCTGGTTTCCGAAGGCTATGCCGCTGCTGGCTACGAATATGTTATTATTGATGACTGCTGGTTGGAGAAAGATCGGGATAATAAGACCCAGAAACTAGTGGCTGACAAGAAACGCTTCCCCAGCGGATTAAATGCCCTAGCGGATCACGTAATTTTCCCAACCTCAGATCCCTTAGAACTTCTCTAATAACCAAGTACTTTTTAGATCCACGACTTAGGTCTCAAGTTTGGTCTGTACCAGGACTATGGAACCAACACCTGTGCTGGCTATCCAGGAGTAATCAATCACATGAAGCTGGATGCCCAGACTTTCGCCGACTGGGACGTGGATTACGTCAAGCTGGATGGTTGTTATGCCAACATCAGCGACATGGCCGTAGGATACCCGGAGTTTGGACGTCTTTTAAATGAAACGGGCAGGCCAATGGTCTACTCCTGCAGTTGGCCAGCTTATCAGGAGCCAGCTGGAGAGATGCCCGACTACGAGTCTCTTAAAAAACACTGCAATTTGTGGCGCAACTGGGACGACATTGATGATTCCCTGGAGTCGCTGATGCAGATAATGGACTACTTTGGCAAGAACCAGGACAGGATTCAACCGCAAGCTGGACCGGGTCATTGGAACGATCCGGATATGCTTCTGCTGGGAAACTACGGACTCAGCTACGACCAGAGCAAGTTGCAGATGGCCATTTGGGCAATCATGGCAGCTCCCCTAATCATGTCCAACGACTTGGAGGCAGTTCGTCCCGAGATCAAGGCTATTCTACAGAATCGGTTTGTTTGGGGAATATATATATTAGATGACGCTCCATATTAATGGTTATTCACTTTTTAGAGCCGTCATTGCTGTGGATCAGGATGAACTGGGCATCCAGGGGCGTCGGATCTTGACTCGGAATCAAATAGAAGTCTGGCAGCGAAAAATCACTCCGGTGACCAAAAACGGATACCACTCCTATGCCGTGGCCTTTGTCAGTCGTCGGGATGATGGAGCTCCTTACAGAATTACCTTTACCATCAAGGAACTCGGCTTGAAGAATCCCAATGGCTATGCGGTCCAGGATCTGTATGACTCCAGCAGGAACCTGGGTGTCTTCAAGAAGAGCAACCAGTTCGTCACACGCGTCAATCCCAATGGTAAGACCTGTTACAGACCTGTTATGGTCCAGCCCTTAATTGTTTACCTTAATCCCAACCTTAGGCGTAACTTTCTACAAGTTTACGGCGCAGTAAACGAAAATTATGCAAATCAGCTTCTGCCATCACTTCGAATACGCTCTTTAATACTATTTTCACGATGCCTAATTCCAATTTTAATAAATCATAAACGACTGATATGTATTCTTTTGACATTGGTGATTTTTATTGTTCGTAAAACAATGGGTTGTGTGCCTCACACACAGATATATAGTAAGTATTGTACAATTATAGGCGTAGATTGCAGTACCGACACTAGTTAAGACTCGTTTTATGGTATAAATAACGTCTGACTTGATGAAATTATTAGTTCGCAAGCTTGGATTGTATAAATAATATGTGTAGCACTATATATGCGATTAGGACCCGAATAAGAAAAGAAAGAAAGGAAAGCGATCCCCTTGGATCGTACTCGTACCATTTATAAATAGTTACCGTCTACAGCTACATCTTAAATGGGTTTGGTCGTCGAGAGAGTTATTGTCAAGTTGTTGGCGAAACCGGAACCAAACCGAACCCATTACCCGGGGGTTAGTGCACCCCGTTGCTGATGGTCGGCGTGCGTTCGTAGGTGCGCCTGTGGAGCGCATCCACATCCTTCAGGTAGTATGTTCCCGGGAATAGAGCCGAGATGCTGCCCGTGGGTGTGTACGGCGCCGCATGGTTGTTCTTCTCGCGCACCTCCATCAGCGACGAGAACTGCTCGGGAGCCACCTTTTCCCGCGAGTTGAGCAGCGGCAGGACATAGTCCAGCTTTGACACAAACTTCTCAAAGGCCGCCGCATCCTGAGTCACACTTATCGAATACATTGAAGCCGCCAGACCGGAGCCGTAGGAGAACACGCCGATGCGCTTGCCCACCAGTTCCCTGGCCGGCTCTCCGATCAGCAGGGAGACCAAGCCGGAGTACACCGACGGCGTGTACATGTTGCCCACTTGGTTGGCCAGCAGCAGCGACTTCTTGGTCTTGCTGGCGAAAATATCCGCCGACTGCGTGAGGAAGGCCTTCTCCACGTCGCGATCGAAGTAGGTGCTCTCCAGAGTGGCCTCGTTGAACCTCTCCAGGCCGGGGAACTGCTTCGCCCGCTCCGCCTCGCTGCTCAGCAGGAAGTCGTTGAAGCTCAGCCGGCCGACGGATTTCTGCACCAGCTTGCAGAAGGGTGTGTGGAACAGGATCGCATCGAAGGTGTCCAGGCCCGACTTATCCTTGGCGCTGTCCTTTTGCTGTGCATCAAACTTCTTGCGGTACAACCTGTAGCAGGTATCCAAAGCGGAAAGGTAGCACTGGATCGAGAGCTTCCCGTCCACCGTGGGGTACTCGGAGCTGAGGTCCGGCTTGTAGAAGTCGTAGGCGTGCTCCATATGCGTAGCCCTCAGGCCGCGATCGAAGACCAGCGGCGCATCCGGACCCACCAGCATGGCCACCGCTCCAGCGCCGCCAGTTGGACGCGCTGCACCCTTGGCGTACACCGCGATGTCAGCACACACGGCCAGGGCCAAACGGCCGTCCCAGCTGGAGGACTCCACCCAGTTCACAGCATTGAAGAGGGCGGCCGTGCCACCATAGCAGGCGTTTGTGGTGTCGATGCCTTCGATGTCGGTATTCCCGCTCTCGGCAAAGAGCTGCATCAGCACGGATTTCACCGACTTGGACTTGTCCACTATGGTCTCGGTTCCGACCTCCAGGCGCCCGATCTCCGAGTGCTTGACGTGGTGCCGTTCCAGCAGGCGGCTGACCACCGTCAGGCACAGCGAGTTGACGTCCTCCCGATCCGAGCAGAAGCCCATCTTGGCCTGGCCCAGACCGATTGTGTACTTGCCACTCGAGGCCCCGTCAAAGGCCTCCAGCTCTGTCTGGTCCACGTACTGCGATGGGAAGATCACTTCGATAGCGCGTATTCCAACATTTTGGGGCCAAAGGGATGCCATGATTGTATTTGTGATTATCTATTTAATCCTGAGCTCTGAAAGGAAAACAAGCAGTTGAGTATTAGTTGAGGTATTTGGGATCTCTTTCAAGCATTCTTGAAGGCTTCCTCGCTGCAGACCAAGAACTTAATGTGGCCCGAATTCCAATGCCAATTGGCATTGAGAAACTTTCTCCCCGCGCAATCACATCGTTTTTTAATGCTTACAAATTGGACGAGGGCAGAGACAACCTGTTGCACGCTCGAGCTGCGTCGGACGTGTGTAAGCCGATGACTGTGAGCTGGGCTGAAGAAGTCATCAATGTCCCAGAGCGGCAGAGGCGCCGCTTTTGCTCTTGCTCTTGCCAAAGTGGGGGGGACCTGGGCAGGGGCCAACTGATTTCCCTGGCCTAAACGGAGAATCGGTAAGCAGTCGCGTGAGAGGCGGAGAGAGAGCCCCGCACCAGTGGAGAAAGTTTCCCTGCTCAGCCCCAAACTTTACAAAAGAGAACACACCAAGCCGAGACAAAGTAAACCAAAACACACGCATCAAGCCGAGAAAGACCATCTCAGAAACTGGAGGACAAGGGCGTGGATGCTGTAGGTACACGTGGAAAAAAGATCTAGCCAAAAAGATCTACAAATCAGACAATTCTTTCAAGAAAGCCCTATAAATTATTTCCAACAGTTTTTGTTTATATTTTCTTGGGATGAGATAGACCAAAATCATGTGGTTTGTTTTAAATTTTTGTTCTAATTTTGGGGAAGAATTAATCACCCTAACATGACTGAAAGAATCGTGCTTATTTTAAATATTTTTCGCTCTAAATTGAGCGAATCAATAGTGCTAAATGCTTTGTTATATTTTACAAAGATTTTAAATAAAAGCACAATATTTTCTAAATAAAATGAAGTTATTTAAAAAACGTATATTTTAGGAAGTTATTTCTTTCCCTGCATCATTGTGAGACAGGTTGGGAGCGTCTTCACTGATAAGTAGGTCAAGCCCACCGTCCACCGAACACTGTCCCCGAATCCCCCTTTCATTGTGCCTGTCTGGTCGATGGTAACACGCGTCTATATTGTATAACTGATAAGAGAGTGTACGAGTGTGGCCCAAACCCTAAAAAACGAAAAACCGATTGACATGTTTACCGTTACTGTTAGCACCTGCGACGGCCTATTGGCTTTTTGAGGTTTTCACTTTTTGGGTATTGGGGGTTTTGTGGATTTCAGGTTTCGATGGGTTTCGGGTAACCGGGTAGCCAAGCGCGAAGCTCACTCGATCGAATCTCTCCGCGAACTGACGGCCAAAAAGGCGCTGCACTGGCATATGAATATGACCATGACGGCGGAATGGAAATGGAAATTGGACTCAAGAGTGGAGAAGCGGTGAACAGCCGAACAGCAAACAGAGGCGAGAATAGGCGCTGTTTCTGTAAGTCAATGCCAATTGTTGAAAGCGCTTTGGCGAACAAACAGCGATCGTGCATAATTACGGGAAATATTTATCGCTTAGATACGGCCATCAAGCACGAACGTCTGGGCAAGAAGTGGGCGAAGGTTCAGATAGCTGGTTGCGATGCGGCCGCCGACCGATCAAAGGCTTCCAGAAAGCTGATAAGCCAACAAGCGGCTTCCTCCAATTTGTTCCCGAATAATAGATATGATCAGTTCCCGTTCTAAAGAAAGTACACAACAAGAAAACTATATTATAATTTTAAATACAAATAAATTCAAGGGTACATATTCCACTCTTAATATGCCTAGAGCTAGTACATATATTAGGCTTTATAAATTAAACAAAGCCAGGTTAGAGAAACCCAAAAAATAGTTCTCAGTGCAAATACAGGTAAAGCTCACCCGCTTGTACTGGGGGTTAAGCTATGGAAATGGATGCACTGCTTATGCGAGTGGAAGGAACAAAAGTGGGAGCAGGAAGTGGAAGCACCGAGGAGGTTAACACCAGGCAAATGTTGTGGTTTTGTTGGCTTATTTTTAGCACTTTCAAATTGGGAAATTTGTGTAAACAAAACTGGAACTGTTGCGCACTTAGCTAATTGTTTGCTCGCTGCTCTTGACTCATTTTCGTTTTCGGGGAAGCAGACTGTACGTCGGAGCTGGGCAGGGGGATGGGCATAGGGAGGGGGGTCAAAGGTTGGGCCCCCTTTAAAAAAGAAAAGAACACACGTGTATTGGGGAGCAAGCCGGGCGATAAGCAGAGTTTAAGGGGCAGGTTATGAAACAGGGAAAAACAGATGCCGTGACTGAAAACTATTACTTTCTCGAGCCGTAAGTAAACTCAGCGAAGATCTCTAACATCTGGGAATAATAGGTGGCACTTTTCCGGAGTCAATTACTCCTGACACACATTATAGTTCCTCAATCATACGATTGCCGAAGCCGACTTCGTGTTACATCAGCGTTCTTGTGGTTCTGACTGTGTCTGCCGGCTTTCCGAATAAGTTCTGAAATTACGTGGCCTCCGGAGGCACTTACTCACTTGATGATATGCTGGTCCAGGGCGGGCGTTTTGGATTAACTAAACTAATTTCCAAAAAAAAATTAATAAACGCTATGCAGCGGCCCCTTCGCCGGGCAGTGTTGGTAAGCGCATGCGGAAACAGCTGTTAGATGGGTCAGCTGTTATGGCGGCGACTTTACCACACTGCTCCATCACGTGAAACTTGTGGGCATTGTGAACTGTCACTTTTCGCCAGCGCTTCTCACCACAGATTTTCGTTCGCATTTGTGGGTGGCGGCGGTCGATTTGCGCTGATTTTGGCTGAAAAAAAACTGCTCAATTTCTTACATTGCACAAAAACGCACACCTGTGTCTTTCCAACCAAGCAGTTTGAGCATAAAGTAAGTGCAACACCTAAAGTTCGGCGTTTTCCACGTCCCTATCGTCGTCGTGTGTTTGTGAAACTATCCCGCATAACTGGTGGCGAGAAAAAAAAACGCATTACTACATCGCAGTGGGTCTCGTGACCTGGCAAGAGTGCATTTCGTCTACGAGAACAACGGAAAAGTGCGGAAAAATAAGATAGCAAGTGGGGCTACGACTTTTAATGATGTGTGACCCTGAAAATTGAGCCCCCCTCCACCCAGAGCATCCCAGTTTTGTTTTGCCCGCGTAAGAGCAACTGGTGGGAAATGGGTTTGGCCAGATTTGGCTAAATCTGGATAAATCCAGGTGGCGGCGCGTGGGCGGCCTGCTAAAAAATATGTTGGTGGTGTTTTGGTTTTTGTGCGAAAACCCGTGAGCAGAAAATTATCGATCGGAAAACTGTCATGTGACTGTCAACGACAGCTGACAGGCCCAGCAGAAACTCACCACGCTGAGGTGGAAAGAGCGCTCCTCTCTCTCTCCGACTCCTCTAGTTAGCTCCCCTTTCTTGCCCTCTCGCTCCCTCGTTCTCTTGGTAAACAAAATAGCAAATGAATTACAAATTTTCAGTTAAATTTCTGTATTTTTTTTGAATTTATATTAAAGTGGAGGCGAGGCACGTTTGATGGGAACAAATGGCCGATGATGCGAAAACAAGCAAATACTATTAGCGACCGCACAAGGACTCAAATGAATAGTTCTCTTGCGTGCATCAAGGACCTTGGTGGATACTGACCAGATATATAAAGTCGAGGCGAAACATGCCGAAACATGCTCATATTTGCCAGGCCAATAAAACAAAAAAATTGAAATGCCCAAGAACTTGGAAACAGCTGCTGGAATTCCAGCGCGTGCTTATCTTTTTTGTTTTGTGACAAGGTCTTCTCCACCTACGGCTCCTCCGGCCACATACTCCCCACCGTTTTGTCACCCGTCCCGGCAACCACCCCTCCCCCGCCCCCCGGCAAGCACATTATTATTAATTAATTTGGGCGCACACCCACTGGGACGAGGATATTGTCAAAACTTGTTGTTTTTCTTCCTTTGTTATTCTTTCTTTGTTTTTTTTTTCGTCATCATAAGTCGCGAACATTGCAATTTCCTGTATTGGGTCAGACTACCCCAACTGTGGTCCCAGGACTGTGGAATCAGGACCCCAAGCCCTCTCCATTAGCGCCAGCCGTTGCCCAGTCAGACTGTCTCCACTCGAATGGCGACTGTGTGGCTGGATCCCTCCGCTCAGCTCTCCTCCTGCCTACCAGTATCCGTACCGATCCACGTCACCAGTTCGGAGCATGCCAGCATAACAGCTCCACCCACTCGCACTCGCACTCCTCCTTCTCCTATCTCTGGGCCACCTCCCAATCGTTGCCATACCCCTGAAAGAGGCTAAACATAAACATACGTACTACACAGGGGAAACAATATCCACAGGAAGGTTATTTGTGTCCTTATATATGGATAGGAATCATCATAGTTTTAGGTTGAAATATTACAGATCCATTTGGCTTGATGGTCTCTAGATGATGAGCAATTAACTAACCTCCCTTATAGCTCTTGACTGGTTTATAAACTCAAATATATATCTTATCCTTTGTTGAGGAATAACATTGTTTTCCTGCCCATCATGGTATTCCTATTTCCTTGTTGTCTGTTGCCTTGGTTGGCCCTCCCCTATATCAGTTCTCGTTATGCCCGATGTTGTATGGCCAGCTTTTGACGCTTCCTGGGCGAGGACAATGCACTGCCTTGACTTCTATGGGTGGCCGGACGGAGATGGAGCAGGCTTGTTGTCACTCCTTGGGCTCGTGTTTTGTTTTCGTGTCTCTTTCTGAAGGCCATCATAGTAGTTATGTAATAATAGTGCTCACCATAGGCCGAAATTGGGTAAAGTTAGATTTATATCTCGTGGCGTTTGCTGTATGATTACTCATACGCCCCGTGGCAAGGACTGGGACAAGGAGGAGGAGTCAGGAGGCAGGAGGAGTCAGCGACACTTACCCAAATTGAGCACTCGCTCCGCTTTCATTTTTTTCGGCCATGGCGCCTTATGCCTTTCGTGCCTTTGTTTTTGCCGCTTCGTCATCACATTTTTCAGAACTCGTGCTCGGTTGTCGAGAAGCATGGACATGGCCCGAATCGACTTTCGGCTCTCGTGGCATCTGGCCGTTTGGCCAGCGTTCATTTGGTAACGAGCCCTCGACATAAACGCACGGAAATGTGGCTATAATATCGTAGAACCGGAAAAGCAAACGGAGTAAAGACCATATAGAGAGAGAGAAGAGAGTTGTGAGGGGGGAAAAAATGCCAAAAAAGCTGGTGGAAAAGTTCCTGACCATTCTATTGAGACGCAAGGAGTGCTAGAATCAAGTGTTTGTGTAAGCAACTGGGACTCGCCGTTCCCCAATCGGTTTCCATACATAGACACATAGGAGCATAGACTCAGTGGCGCTGGACTGTCTGGCGCCAGAGGTCGAGGTTCGATTCGGGACTCAAAAAGTGCACTTTCCAAGGGCCGATTACATATTGAATTCGATTTCTTGAAGGCCAGTTGGCAATTAAAATTTCATCGACTTTCAGCAACTGCAATCAATATTGAAGAGTTACATAATTTAGGAGGTGACCAAGGACTAACTTTTACCTTCTCCTCCTCGTTTATTCCCTTCCAGCCATCAAGATGATGTCCGAATACTGGATTATATCGGCGCCGGGCGACAAGACTTGCCAGCAGACGTACGACACCATGAACAACCTCACCAGCAAGCAACACAATCTGTGCAATAACTACAAGTTCCACATCCCCGACTTGAAGGTGAGTTCCGCAATCAGTCATCATCATCATCCCTGAGACAGAATAATCTGGCCTGTCACAGACATGGCCTCATGGCCTTGGCCAGTGGATGACGTATTGTTTCTCTTAACTAATGCTTCTGTTCTAATCAGGTGGGCACCCTGGATCAGTTGGTGGGTCTCTCCGATGATCTGGGCAAGCTGGACACCTACGTGGAGCAGATCACGCGCAAGGTGGCCAACTACCTGGGCGAGGTGCTGGAGGATCAGCGGGGCAAGCTGCTCGAGAACCTGATGGCCAACAACAGTAAGTCGTCTGCCTGCCATTAACTATCACTGTATTAGCCTAGCTTAGTCTAGCTTAGCTTAGTTCCGTTTAGTTTAGTTTAGTTTTAGTTGGAGTGACCTCTGTTTTGCGGGTCACAGTCTATATCGTTTTGGTTATTTAGTTATTCTAAGCAGTTCTTCTGACCGTAGAACCGGAATGCTCTGACATAATCGTACTATACTATACAGTGTGTAATGCCACATCTATTACTTACTAACCACCAGTGGGAGTACCACTCGAAAGGAATGTTTTGGTCTATCCGAGTCCCTTATCTGACTAACCTAATGCCCGTCTATATCGATCACCATTTCCCTAATATCTATCTATCTTATAAAGTAGTTTTTAAAAAAACAATCGATGATAAATGGTACTTTGCGAAGCGAGAAACAGATTTAAAAACTAATCGATTTTCAGCCGAAACCCCCAGGCCTTACATTTATTTCCTTTTTTAAAGAGTGAGACTTTTCGGTTACAAAACAATATTATTTTATACTTTACACTCCTGGGTTACCTTTTGTTTATCATTTCCCTTATGTTTGGTTGAGTTTTCTTTAATTTATTTGTTGAACTCATGCGCACCATCATCACCACAGTAATGAAGGATATTCCTTAGGCATATAAACTAGTTCGAGTTGGTCTTAAATGCTTCAACAACAATGGAATTAAAATCCATAATTTTCCCCCCACAAAAAAGTTAACAAAAATCAAAAAAAAAATTAAGATATTGTGGAATTAGCCGAATGGGAATTTGCGTTGTTTATTTTGTGTTGCGTTTGTTGTACATTTTAATACGCACACCCCCACCACCACCCCCCGCCACATCGACCTCACACGCTATAAATTTACAAATATATACCAGCCGAGACACACTCACAGATACAATCCACCAGATACAGATACAGATACACACACTAGCGTATTTTTGGCCCCGTCCAAGGGCGCCCGATCCCCGGTCAATTACTCGGAGCTACGCGGTCTAAGGTCGCCCCCCTCCGCCCCAAAAAAACAAAGATACTTTTGATACACTCGCCCACCACCCCCCCCAAAACCACACACACCACCCACCGACACAGACACGCTGGAGGAGTACAGTGAACACTTTGTATATTTTACATATATTGTTGTACGTTTTTTTTTTTCGGTTTTCGATACGATTGGGTTGGATACCAATTATTGTGGTTTTCCGTCACTTGAAAGCCCATTAGTTTTTAAATCATTCACCGACCAAAGAGCAAAAAAAAAAAAAATAGTAATATAAAGGATAAAGCCAGACATGTAAAGAGTGTATATGTAGGTCCATAACTGCATATATATCAAGTATATATATATATCAAAAAGTTGACTTTCTGCGCGAGTGTCGTTCCTCATACTTGCTTTATTTTTTAGTTTTTATTTCGAGTTTACATGTACTATTTATTTTTGTATAAATAACAATGTAAGTGCGTGCATAATGTACATATATGTATCCCTATATAGACTTGTAACTGTTGTACCTGTGTGTGTGTGTGTATCTGTGTGTGTGTGTCTGCATCTGTGTTGTCTCATTGTCTCTCACCTGCATCGATCCGCTTGGAAAAACGCTTGTTTTTGTTCAATTTTTCAATGCACTCCCTCCCCCAGGGCTCTCCCACACGAATCTAATTAGAGAATCCTCGAATAAAGATGCATCCTAGCTAGAGTCTTGTGGGTGAGACGGGGAGAGGAGCACAGTGGGGGCTGTATCAGTGTGGGCTTGTGCACCTGTTCATACGCTTTTCACATCCACCGCATTCGCTAATTAAGATGGGAGATACAATTGCAATTAGAGCCAATTGGAAAGACTACTAGTGTGGAGGAGGAGAGCAACCAAAAGCTTTTACACTGCAACAAATGGGTGACACTCTCTGAATTATAATCCAAATGAAAGCACAAAATGAGACGCAAACACTAATCAGCCATGGAGTTACATTTTGTTCCACTGTTGTTCATGGGATGCCCCATTGCCATTCCTGCCATTATTTTGCACAAAAAAATCACCCCTGCCAGCATATGAGGAATTTTCCAACCAACCCCCCCCACCCCGCACACATGAGTTTCAAATTTTTACATTTTTCTCTTCTATGATTTTCATTATTTATTTTTACAAATATTTACGAAATGATAAGTACCTTTTCTGCCTTGGTTTCTTCGCTTTCGTTCGATGGTGATAATCGCAGATAGTGGACCAGATCCCGGGTGGGAAAGGAAGAGGAGTGCTAGGGACTAGCCCCTAAATGTATGCTATATAGTTTTACTTTTAATTTATTTGAATCGTGAACCGGAAGTGCAAGCAATCTGAACCGAGAAGAAGCGTTCTCCTTCTACTAAGACTAAGTCTGCCAACTGAATCTAAAACAAAAATCCTTCCTTGTGTTGTATTGTCTGTACCATCGGTAATTGAATCCACCAACTCCACGAACTCCATCCAAAATCGATATTCGAATTGAAATCGCCCACCTGATTGCATCCTGACTGACCTGACCTACCGAATCCTGTGAACCCGAAACCGAATGGCAGGTCCTGGGCCACCCGACGACAGCATGCCGTGTCGCCACCACCAGCGCATCAAACATCTCAGCCTGCGACACCAGCGAAAACACCAGCACACGCACCACCAAAACAAACCCCAACACTACCATCACCACCACCACCACCAGCTGCCCCAGGATCTCAAGGGTAAATGCAGTTCCAGTCAGCCGATTACGACTCCCGTTGCCTGTTCACCTGCCACTCCCCCGCCCCCTAATCTGCCGTCTTCTGCCGCTGCTACTGCTGCTGCCGCCTGCGCCTGTGTTTCGTCCTCCCCCGCCGCCGAGGCGCTGGCAACCGGATCCGGATCCGGCGGCAGCATGACCAACCTCTCCACGGGCAACGAACCGGAGTTCGAGCCGTGCCCGTGCGACGAGTGTTTCGCTTGTGCCCCGCCCAGCACGAGTGCCACGGCCAGCACGCTCCTGGCGGATGAGTGCTACTCGCAGACAGCATCGTCCATGCTGAGCGCCACCCGATGTGCCTTGTCCACTGTGGCGGCCATCGCCACTGGCAGCGGCCTGGGCGGCGGTCCGAGCACCAGTGCCGCTGCTGCGGCGGCCTCAGCCTCAGCCTCCGCCTCATCGGCCTCGTCCGCCGGAGCAGCCTCGCATCCCGCTCCCAGCTCCTGCTCGACTCTGTGCTCCTCGGCCTACTTCTCGACGTCGGCGCCCACAACCAGCAGCTCAGTGCATAGCAGCATGTCGCGCTCTAACAGCAAGCGGCTGAATAACAACACTTGCAGCATCAACAATAACAAGCTCAGCTTCCGCAGCGGCAGCGGCCACGTCAGCCAGCTGCACCTGCCCACTCACCAAACCCATCACCAGCAGCCCCATCATCATCATGCAGTGCCAGCAGCGTCGGCGCCACTGCAGTCGCCAACGCAAAAGTCCATGTCGGAGGACGAGGGCGACGGCCCCAGCCCCGGCCTCGGCCCCGGCGATGACGGCGGGCAGGAAACGGACGAGGACCCAAAGAGTCCCCATAGCGTTCAGTCCGACCTCTCGGAAACCTTCGACTGGTGGTTCAATAAGCCCAAGCGTAACTCTAAGAAGAGCAGGTATCTTATCATCGCATTACCTACTTGTAGAACGTTGCCAAAAAAAAAAAAAAAAAAAAAAATCGCCAGCACCCCCAGACAAAGATAAACAAAACCAGAATTAAAAGCCAAGTCACCCGCTGTCATCCCGCTAAGCTGCCTTTCCTCCAATGAGAAACACACACACTATACATGCCACTCGAATACGATGTAAAAATATATACACAACACTACACTGAACAAAACAAGCACCCGCTTTGCCTGCTCTCATTACAGAAAAACAAATTATTAAAAAAACACACAATCCAGAAACCCAGAATGACCCATAAATGTTTGAGTTGATTTTAAGAATCGAGAACCGAATCGAATGCAATAATAATGTATTTCTTTTTTAAATCACTTTCCATCCATCATCGCACATTGGCCCACCAATCACCAATCACTTCAATCACTCATTCAATCACTTGATTCAATCACAGTGCACCACAGTCACACGAAACAACACCGCAACACCAACAGACACAGAATCAGACACAGAATCAAAATCAGAATCAGAATCAGTACCAACAATACCAATACCCTCACCTATCCAAAGCAATGACATTTTGGCATCAAGCATCGACCACACCGCGCTCTAGTTATCGCTCTTTCTTCAATTCTCTTGCCGATCAAATTTATAGCAAACGTTCTACACCGAGTCAATTAAATATAAACAATGGATTTAATTTAACACCAACACATAGATCGTCTCCAGTGAGTAGTTGTTGTGGCAGTAGTAGCCAGGGGCGATCCAGTCCGGACACGGATCCCGCCGAGCCGCCCGAGTTTCCGCTGAGTCCAGGTTAGCATTGCCCTCGTTCGGGTTCCGAAACCCAACTCCATGCCTCTTGAAGATCTCACTGATCTCTTGATCGGCGCTGACATATACCTACTATAAGTGTACATGTTGATGTTGCCGTTGCTCTCCAGTTTCGTTTCCGTTTCCGTTTCCTTATAATATTATTTTCCTATTGAGTTATATCCTTATGGTTTTTTTTTCTTGAGCAACTTGATGTTTCCCACTTTCACGCCTTTCTCCTTTCACATCACGTTCTAATGACATCGTCTTGCAGTCTTCGAGTCTTGAAAGACGACGTTTCTGTTTCTTTCTCAGTTTTGTATCTTTTAGTTGAGGCAACTATACTATATATTTCCTTATCTTATCACTATGATCGTTGCAATATTTCTTTTGATTTGCCTTTCTCTCTGTGGTATTTTTGCAAACGCCCTTTGTTTGCGCTTTCCTTATGATTTACCGCGAATATGAATATATATATCTATTTCTTTAATATATATACACGGATCTGTTGATTATGTGTAACAGTGTACAGATTTGTAAAAGTGTAAAAGCGATTGTGTTGTTCTTTCAGTGTACGCTCACCAATCAAATCACCAAACGTTGTTCTGCGCTCCACATGCTCCACATTACAGCCCACGATTAACGCCGATACCCCATTAAGCTATCAGCCCTTAGCTATCTCACCCAAAACTCACCCAAAATCAAAAACCAAAAAAAAAGAATAATATTTATTTCTAAAAAAATGCAGCTTTGCCCCAGCGCCAAGTCCAAATGTTGATCAATCGCTGAGTTCACTGTGATTGCTTTGTTTCGCATTTTAATTTGTCCGTTTAGTGTCTATATATATATATACGTACTATATATTCTTATCACACAGCATTATGTTTTCGAAAGCCAGCTAACATGTTGTGCCGTGTGACACGAAAGGTATTTCCAATAGCGACTAATATCCGTACTCCCCAGTAATCCCCCGTAGCATCTATATTTGCATCCCGATTTCTTACTTTTCTGCTAATTTCTATTTTTAATCGATCTCTAATTGTCTAACTAGTAAGTGTGTGTGTGTGAGTCTGAATCCTACTAACTGTTATGTATTTTAAACAAAATTACTTTTAATTTTAATTAATATTATTATTTTATTCAGCTTCCGAGCCTATAGTTTCCTTCAACTAATTCTTTACAACTTTTTATATGAATTACTATGTATTTTTTTTTCGATTTCGTTTCGTACTTATACAATAATAGAACAACCAGTTTGTTCAGCTAGCTACTAAGTTAATCACACTGACTAGAAGAGTTGAACTAACCTATACTTTGTACGATTCTACGAAATAGCCGAACTGCCCCAGTACTTGACCCGCTTCCAGTGGGACATGGCCAAGTACCCCATCAAGCAGTCGCTCCGCAACATTGCCGACATTATCTCCAAGCAGATTGGTCAGATCGATGGCGACTTGAAGACCAAGTCCCAGGCCTACAACAACCTCAAGGGCAGTCTCCAGAACCTGGAAAAGAAGAAGACGTAAGTTGGGATTAGACTTCCATAACCAAGCTTTATTAACATTAAAATATTGGTTTTTATAGTGGCAGCTTGCTGACCAGAAATCTGGCTGATTTGGTCAAAAAGGAGCACTTCATCCTGGACTCTGAGTACCTGACCACTCTTCTGGTCATTGTGCCCAAGTAATATTCTGAAATATTGAACTCCAAAAAGGAGACTAAGCCTTGTTTCCTCTTTTTTAGGGCCATGGCCAACGACTGGCTGACCAACTATGAGAAGATCACCGACATGATTGTGCCCCGATCCTCGCAGCTCATCCAGGAGGACAACGACTACTGTCTCTTCAACGTGACCCTGTTCAAGAAGGTGGCCGAGGAGTTCAAGCTCCATGCCCGCGAACGCAAGTTCATCGTGCGTGACTTCGTATACAATGAGGAGGAGCTGGCCGCCGGCAAGAACGAGATGACCAAGCTGATGACCGACAAGAAGAAGCAGTTTGTATGTTTCATAGACAAGCTTCTAGTTGGTATTTTGTCTAATTACAAACTCGGTATTTCAGGGACCTCTGGTGCGTTGGCTGAAGGTCAACTTCAGTGAGGCCTTCTGCGCCCTGATTCACGTCAAGGCTCTGCGCGTGTTTGTGGAATCTGTCCTGAGGTATCATTTAACTCTTTTTAAGCTTCTTTTAAAGCTAAAACTAAATCATTTACTCGTTTTTAGGTACGGCCTGCCCGTCAACTTCCAAGCCATCTTGATCGAGCCCAACAAGAAGAGTGTGAAGCGCCTGCGCGACGTTCTCAACCAGCTCTACGGCCACCTGGATGGCGCCTCCGCCGGCGGTGCTGTCAGCAGTGCTGATGTAAGTCCTTAAACTTCAAGGGCCTTCCAATTAATATTAATTTATATGTATATTATAGAACGTGGACATCCCCGGCCTGGGCTTTGGACAGTCGGAATACTATCCCTATGTGTTCTACAAGGTCAACATCGACATGGTGGAGCAGGCCAAGGTCTAAAGAGCGTCCGCCCGCCCCCCAAACATTGCATACATCCTCCAACCACACAAAAAAATTTACACTTTACTACAAAAAGCCTACAACTTAAAATCAGCTAAACCATTCGCAGTCTTGAAAAGAAACAAAATTAATAGATTACTTTAAAATAATTTTAGTCATTGTTATCTAATTATTGTTGTTATTTATGTTACGCGTTGCTGCAATCTGTTTTGAAATCCATCAATCCCGGCCATCTCGAGATGAAGCCGAGATGAAGCGCGTCAACAGACCAAACTCGTTTGCAATCACCCAAGATCAAGATCTTGTAGAACAATTCGACCCGATCGTTCTTTGTCCCTCTTCAGTTCGCTAAACAGTATTTTATGTTGTTCTTATGCCTTACTATGATTATGAAATGATAAATGAACAGAATGTCTAATCCGTCTAGCCAAATTTACACACATTGTCGCTAAGGCTTCGGCTTACTATATCTTTTTTGTTTGTTTGTTTGTTTTGGTAGCTTTACAATAAACACTTGAGTTACATTTTATTTTTGAAAACAATTTCGTCTCGTTTCGTCGTGCTTGTGCTCCACTTGGTATCTGTATCCTGTGACTAACCCACAAACCAAACAAACAACCCAGGCCCAAACTACATATACTTAAGCCCCCCCTATGTGGTGTCGCAAATCGCAATCCGAAGGTTTCCCTGCGGAAGCTGCGCTAACAAATTGTTGATGCAAAATGCAATTGATACGTTTCGAGTAAAGACAAACAATTAAATTAAACGGAAGTATTGTATTTATAAATGTTGCCTAGATATCGAAATTTTATAATAAAACCCAAACGCGCTACCACTCTAATCGCTGAGGAGAACCGCTCTGGCATTTTGAGGTTCTGCTTGTTGTTTTGTCTCCTTGTTGGAACGCAAACCTTAACCCGCGTGTGTGTTAACCCCTTGAATGATAAAACAATGATATAAACTAATCCACCAGCAGCGATGAGAAATGAACAATAATATTTCCTAAATTGAGAACAGTATCTACATCTACATACATATATATAAATATTTTAAAGTTATGCATAATATGTGTAAAATGAAATGAAACTAAAGAAACAATGTAAATGTCATTGCGTTATATAAGGTGCAATTAAGCCATCCTTGTAAATAATTATAAAGAAAGAAAGACATTCCCAACTTTGTTTTGTTGTCAATTAATTTTATCGGATTGGTGTCCAGTTTTACAATTTATTTATCCAATACTTGCTGCTTAAAGTAATGTTTTCAAACATGCTCTGGTTGATAATTTAGGGCTCGATCAATGTAAATTGTTGGTCGGTATAAATGCTGTATGTATGTACCTATTTTAAGCGGAAAACCATCTACGAACTAATGGTTCAACATTCAAATTGATGCAAATGTAAGCCGGAACATGCTTGGTGGTCTTTATCGGGTCCTTTTAGGCGCTAAATGTCCTGTTTCGGCTTGTTCTGCGATGAAGCGATGCGCGAGATCTTCAGAATGTTTGGCGGCTTCGGTTGATTCTTGTCCGCCTCGTATTGTGCGCGATGCAGCCGCTGGCGATGCTTGTACATGTTGGCGCTACAAAAGAAGGTCATCGGACAGTTGGGGCAGGTGTACAGCACCTCGCCGGTGTGTGTGGACGTGTGTTCCTGCAAGATAGAATAGAAACTTGTATATCTCGAATCAGTGAAGATCTTCATGGTGTAACCTTCAGTTCCTGCGGCCGCTTAAAGGCCTTCTCACACATGGTGCACTTGAACTTTCGTTCGCACTCATGGTTGTGGTAAATGTGACGCCTCAGTGCCCGCGCATTCGGCGAAACCTTGCTGCAAATGTGGCAGCGATGCTCGCCGGCGCTTTCCACGTGAATGCTTTTCATGTGCTGCTTGAGTCCTGTCATTCCCTTCAGCCAAGCCCCGCAGATCTGGCACTGTTTCAGTTCTGGTTCCGGGCGCGGTTTGTCAGAGTGCATCAGTTCCTGGTGCTTCTTCAAAATGATCTTGGTGCGCATCTGTTTTCCACACTTGTCGCAGATGATAGTGCTCTCCGGATCGTGCATCGAACTCATGTGGTTCTTCAGCTTACGCTCCGTGAGGAATCTAATCAGTTATGGATAAGAAATATGAAATATAATGATAATGAATTAGCTTAGACACTTACTTTTTACTGCACTCCGAACAGGAGAATTTGAACTCCGACTTGGGCACATGCTTGTTTAGCTTGTGGTAGTCGATGGCCGTTTTGCTGAGGAAGGTTTTCGCACAAATGTCGCAACTGAAGGTCAACTTAATGGCTGGATCCATGTGCACTTGCTGGTGCGACTCTAGGTGCCGCGAGTTCTGGAAAGACTTTTCGCACACGGAGCACTTGAAATGGTCTGGATTCCAGTGGACCAGGACATGCTCGGCCAACACTTTACGCTGCGTGAACTTTCGGCCACAGCACATCATGTATCCAGGGTCCACCTGATGTGACAGTCGGTGATGGCGCTGCATCTCAGTGAAGTTGTGTACCAGCAAGTTGCAAATCGAGCATGGAAGTACATCGGTAAAGAACTTGGCAATAATGCTGTCGTATTCCTCCTGGTGCTTCTTGCGCTGCTCCAACAGTTCACGGGACATGCGCACCTTGGGCTCCGCCGGTTTCGTGCGCTTCTTGTACTTCTTGGGCCGCACCACAGTTCGCTTGGGAAGCACCGCAAATTCCTGTTTGGCATGGCCCTCCAGCTCAAAGTCCGAATCTGTATCAAAATCATTGCTCCCAAAGTTGTCATCAGAGGAATTATCGCTTGGCGCCAGGCCATCGTCCAAATTGTAGGAGAATTCCGGGTCATCGTCTATAAATTCTTCCATCTCTTCCGATTTCAGAGTTACTTCAATGTCGTCTTTTGGTGTCTCCGGAACGGCAATCACGGCAGTGGATGTCAGCGTAGCACTGGCGGTGTCTGCCTTACGGGGACGTCCTCGCTTTTTCTTGGGCGGCGAGGGCTCCAGATCCAAGCTTTCTAGAGGCTCTTCATAATTTCCTGGCTCTGTTAATGATCCTTCCTCTGCTTTTACGCGTTTTCTTAGCCGTCGGGTGGTTACATCCAACTGATCTTGGTTAGCTTGTGTGCTGCTTGCGCCCTCAAGAATCTCTATCCTAGGTAAATGGTCCAGTTCGTGCTCCTCAATCTTGACTTCCGGATAGAAGAAGTTACGCCCAGCGACTTCGGACGGTGCCTGCACCTGTTCTACCTGGTCGATTGCCAGTTTTGGAACGTCCGTATAGACGGGGGCAGCCTGGGTTAAAGGATCATCCTCCATTAGCAACACTTTTGTTTCCTGCAATGAGTTTTGAGCAGCGCTGACGAATTCGTGGAGTGCATGAAAGTCTGACACAGTTTTCCAACAGCGACCGCAGATCCTGTCGTTATTTTCCAGGCATATCTGTACCGGGAAGTGCTGACCCACAATACGGGCTATTTCCAGTTGCGATCCCCTGGCGGAATGCACATCTATGTAGTCGCCCATCATCGCCTGATACTCGCACATGCAGAGTAAACAGCAAGAAGAGGAATCTGCATATATAAATTAAAAACAAATTAGCGTCTTTGGCTCGAAAATGGAAATTCTGCTGGCTGGCCTCGCAAGACTTTTGCACTTTTGGAGTCTTACCCATTGTGATGCGTAGAACTTGCTACTAAAAAATAATTGCCATCTGTATTTAATAAATTAAAATTAGGATTCTTATTTATATTTTATAATTAAACGCCGAAAATGCACTCCAAACTCAAGCCAGCTGTTTGGAAAATCCGTTCACAATGAGCATACGCTCATGCCGTTTTCCAACACTAAACCAAGCCTAAATTTGGTATTTTTACTTTTTCGCCGAGCACCAGCGTTTCTCCAGCAAAAACACAAAAATCTTTTGTTTACGTTTTCTAATTTGTTATCTGCAGCTTCTGTTATCATGTCTGAGCCAGAGGAATTACCTGTAAAGTGATGATACATCTGGTTTATTTACTTAAAATAATATTACCTACCTTTTAAGGTCGAGGAGCCCCCCAAACGAAGTTCGAGGCAAACCATTTGGTACTCCATAGAAAAAGCTGTAGAGGAGAATGAATGTCCCAGTTGCGGACGACCAATGAAATCCTTCAAAAACCGCTTTGCCCACATTAAAAAATGTTTTAGCATAAGGAAACTAGGGCCTGTTTACAGGCTACATGGCTATGCAGAGTGCATATGTGGTTTACTTATAGCAGATACGCCTAAGGCTAAAAAGTTGCATGTGTGCTTGGTAAGTAGGTTCCAGAAGACTGCCTTCGAACCTAATCGACTCCCATTTTTAGGGTAAAATTCCTGCCTTTGAGCCGGAAGTGCATTTTGAGTCGCTGCCACCTGTGCCTGCTGCTAGTCCGCCATCAACACCTTCTCTGCCACAATCCAATCGATTGCCACAACCGACCTCAATCCTCAAGCCCAAAAGCAAAGTGTGGATACGCAACTTCAGTTCTCCCATTAAGCCGAGAGGAGTGCAATTGTTGGATATATCTCTCCACGAAACGGCAAAAAGCAGGGCCAGCACTCTGCCGCGAGTCCGAAACTTCGATCGACCACCTCCGGCTCCCTCTCCAGAAGAGGTCTGCGTCTACTCCATTATACGACAAAACGAATCCATTGCCCTGGCGGGACGATCTATACTAGCGCAACGAGCATCCAACGAAAATATCACAATAGTGAGGAAACGAATCCAACGACAAGGCACTCGGAAAGGTGGCTTATCCTGACCTTAGTTTATTAGAATTATATTTTAATTAAGTATACAACAAATTTGAGCATGTATAAATTAAAAACTTTTTTAACTTTTTTATTTTTGTTGAAAAAGTGTAATATTAATTTAGTAGCATAAATTATACATTTATAATATAAATTATACATCACTATACAAAAGGAGTAAACATTTCACTAAATTTAAATTTTTATGGGATAAACAAAATTTTATCAAAGTTTAAGCTTTACATATAATTGTTTAATTTTTTTTATTAAACTTTTTTCTTAATTTTCATTCAGTTTTGAAATTAAAAAGCACAAACTTTTGGTGGAAAGTGACTTGCACTACCTGGTAACACTGCAAAATAAGCAAAACAAAATTCCACGTAAAAAAGTCGATTGCCGGGCGAATTAATTTGCAATTTCGAATGTCAGCTGCCAGGACTAGTCAGGACTGTGACTGCACTGCCAAGTGCAGGCTACGCCAGCATGGAAACAATATTACTGCGGCGCTGACAAAGCGCTCCATTTCCAGCCAGAACCTTGCCGCTTTCGTTTATAAGACTTGTGGGAATTTCGCCAACATACTGGACGACCTGGCAAGTGGTGAAATGGGTTTATCTATAAATAAATCTAATGATAAACCTTCTCGAACTCTAGGGACGATCTGCAGTGCACATGTCTGCATCAACGGGCCGGTACGAGATCCTGGAGTGGCTGCTGAACCATGGAGCCTACATCAATGGCCAGGATTACGAATCTGGAAGTAGTCCCCTTCACCGGGCTTTGTACTACGGTTCTATAGACTGTGCTGTTCTTTTACTTCGCTATGGAGCCAGTATGGAGCTGCTGGACGAGGACACGCGATGTCCTTTACAGGCCATCTGCCGGAAATGTGACGTTAATGACTTTGCCATAGATTCACAGTGAGTGGGCAATTATGTCCCCTAGATCTTCTCATTTCAAGTTATGTGTTCCCACAGAAACGATATTTTGGTCTGGGGCTCCAACAAAAACTACAACCTGGGCGTTGGCAGCGAGCAGAACACCAATGCTCCTCAGAGTGTAGACTTCTTTCGCAAGTCCAACATTTGGATTGAACAGGTGGCCCTAGGTGCCTACCACAGTCTGTTCCTGGATAAGAAAGGTCATCTGTATGCCGTAGGTCATGGCAAAGGCGGTCGACTGGGCATCGGAGCGGAGAACACCCTGCCGGCACCTAAGCGTGTTAAAGTCTCCTCCAAGCTGGGCGATGACTCCATCCGTTGCATCAGCGTCTCCCGCCAGCACTCACTGGTGCTCACGCACCGTTCTCTAGTTTTCGCCTGCGGCTTAAATAGCGACTGTCAGCTCGGCGTGCGTGACGCACCTGAGCACCTTGCCCAGTTCAAGGAAGTGGTCGCCTTGCGTGACAAAGGTGCTAGCGATTTGGTGCGTGTCATCGCCTGCGACCAGCATTCAATAGCCTACGGCAGCAGGTGTGTCTACGTTTGGGGGGCCAACCAGGGCCAGTTTGGCATCAGTGCCAATACACCTAGCATCGTAGTGCCCACTCAGGTGAGTTATGACCGTAAATTACAGACAATTTTCACCAAAAAGACTCTCTATGCACAGATCAAACTGCCAGCGAAGACGACCATCCGTTTTGTAGAAGCCAACAACGCAGCCACGGTAATTTACAGTGAGGAAAAAATGATATACCTTTACTACGCCGAAAAGACAAGGGCGATTAAGACGCCCAAGTAAGTCCCTTATCCAAAAATGAAAGATTTTGTAATATAGACCTACCTTATCCGTAGCTATGAAGACCTCAAAAGCATTTCCGTGATGGGTGGCAATATAAAGAACTCAGCAAAGGGTTCTGCGGCAGCTTTAAAGCTTCTGATGCTTACCGAAACCAACGTGGTATATCTCTGGTACGAGAACACCCAGCAATTTTACAGGTAACTTTTGAAATATATCAAAATATTGATCAAATTATAACACCTTCCATTTGTAGATGCAATTTCCTTCCTATAAGACTGCCACAAATAAAAAAAATCCTCTACAAGTGCAATCAGGTTATGGTTCTGTCCGAAGATGGCTGTGTTTATCGCGGGAAGTGCAATCAGATTGCTCTTCCCGCTTCGGAACTCCAGGAAAAGTCTCGGCCGAACTTGGACATTTGGCAGAATAATGACCAGAACAAGACGGAAATATCCCGGGAGCATGTAATCCGCATTGAACTGCAACGGGTTCCCAACATCGATCGTGCCATTGACATATCCTGCGACGAAGGCTTTTCCTCCTTCGCTGTTCTTCAAGAGTCACAGGGCAAATACTTTCGCAAACCCACACTGCCACGCAAGGAGCACAGCTTTAAGAAGCTCCTTCACGACACCAGCGACTGTGACGCTGTCCACGACGTAGTGTTTCATGTGGATGGCGAAAAATTTCCCGCCCACAAGTTTATCATTTACAGTCGAGCTCCTGGACTCAGAGAGCTTGTTAGGATGTATCTGGATAAAGACATTTATTTAAAGTTCGAGAACCTAACTGGAAGGATGTTCGAACTAGTTTTGAAGCATATCTACACGAACTACTGGCCCACGGAAGATGGTGAGCTCAGCTTGACTTAATTATCCATTGAGAGTCTATTGATCTATTTCCTTGTAGATATCGATTGCATTCAGCAGAGTTTAGGACCAGCCAACCCCCAAAACCGAAGCCGGACTTGTCAAATGCTCCTGCCGCATCTTGAAAAGTTCCAACTACTAGAGCTGGCCAAGTTTGTGAAGAGCTATGTACAGGACCATCAATTTCCGCTTCCAAATGCCCGCCAGCGTCTGCCTCGGCTCCACCGCTCCGATTATCCGGAGCTTTATGATGTGAAGATAAAATGTGAGGATGGAAAAGTCCTACAGGCACACAAATGCATGTTGGTGGCCCGCCTGGAGTACTTTGAGATGATGTTCATGCACTCGTGGGCGGAGCGTTCAAGCGTCACCATGGAGGGTGTGCCTGCGGAGTATATGGAACCAGTACTGGACTACCTCTATAGTCTAGATGCAGAAGCCTTCTGCAAGCAGGGATATTTGGAGACGTTTCTCTACAATCTGATCACCATATGCGACCAGTACTTTATTGAATCGCTGCAGAATCTGTGCGAGCTGCTTATCCTCGACAAGATTAGCATCCGCAAGTGTGGCGAGATGCTGGAATTCGCCACGATGTACAACTGCAAGTTGTTACTGAAGGGCTGCATGGACTTTATTTGCCAAAATCTAGCCAGAGTCCTCTGTTACCGCAGCATCGAGCAGTGTGATGGAGAAACTCTGAAAGGCCTTAATGACCACTATCGCAGTATGTTTAGTAGGGTGTTCGACTACCGTCAGATCACACCTTTCTCAGAGGCTATAGAAGACGAACTACTGCTGAGTTTTGTCGATGGATTAGAGGTGGATCTGGAGTATCGAATGGATGCGGTGCGTTTCTTACCTGTAAAGCATTTAAACTCTTCTAAAAAGTTTAATTCCAGGAATCGAAGGCGAAGCAGGCGGCTAAAACTAAGCAGAAGGATCTTCGCAAGCTCAATGCACGGCATCAATACGAGCAGCGAGCTATATCCAGCATGATGAGGTCTATAAGCATAAGTGAATCTAATCCAACACCAGAGGTGGCCACCTCTCCTCAGGAAAGTGCTCGTAGCGACACCAAAAACTGGTCTCGAGTCATTGATAAAAAAGAACAGAAGCGCAAGCAAGCAGAAACCGCCTTAAAGGTCAACAAAACCCTTAACCACGAGATGTCGCCTGAACCTGCAATGGTGCCCATTGAAAGAACGCCGGTGAAAGAGCAAACACCTCCGCCTCATTCCCCCGAAACGGAATCTTCGACTCCACTAAACAAGAGCTATAACTTGGACTTTAGCTCGCTGACACCCCAGTCCCAGAAGCTATCGCAGAAGCAACGGAAGCGTCTCTCGTCCGAGTCAAAAAGCTGGCGAGTTAACAGTTCCGCTTTGTTGGAGTCACCCACCACCCCTATGCCTGTGCCCAATGCCTGGGGTGTGACCACTACACCTTCCAGTTCTTTCAATGATTCTTACAATTCTCCGGCAACTGGGAGCAGCTCAGATCCCACTTCGTTTGCCAACATGATGAGGAGTCAGGCGGCTTCTGCTTCTGCCACTTCAAAGGACCAAACTCAAAACTTCTCGAAAATCCTAGCGGATGAGCGAAGACAGCGGGAATCCTACGAGCGCATGCGCAACAAGTCGTTGGTGCACACGCAGATCGAGGAGACGGCCATCGCCGAGCTAAAGGAGTTCTACAATGTAGACAATATTGACGACGAGAAGATTACCATTGCTCGCAAGTCCCGGCCCAGTGACATAAACTTCAGCACCTGGATTAGGCAGTGAATCGGATTAGATAGTTTTTTTTAGTGGTGTTGTTTTCGTTTTTAATTTTAATTATTAACAAGAGTCCGATTATTTATTTGATTTTGGGGAGATTTGCTGAGACCGTAACATCAAATGTAGAACTCGGAGCCGCCTGGAAAGAAGCTCACAATGTACTCGCGCTGGACCTTGATGCAATCGGGATGCGGACAGCACATTGGGTAACAAACTTTATTGCATATAGATAATACATATAGATATAGAGATATTTACAAGCTGTGGGGACACACTCAACAATGAGGAAACAAGACATGTGACGAATAAATAGCCATACATATAAGCTAAGCTTAGCCAAAACGGACTGAATTGAAACGATTGAAACCGATAGAAAACCCGTTGCTTATGCAAATGAGAACAAGATGAACGAGACTGACAAAGAGCTGGTGGAGTACGACATGGATATGGAGTTGGAGTTGGTGTTGGTGTTGGTGTTGGTGGGGGATGGAGTTTGATCAGAAGCACTCCTTACGAAAGGCGAATCCGTACTGGTCGCACTTGTAACGCAGGGTCTTGGCCAGCTGTGGAGGACCGCAGTAGAAGACAGTAACCTTGCCCTTCTGTTGGGCCTGCAGTTGCTTGAACACCTTGTCCCAGTTGGGTCTGCCAGCATTAGTGCGGGTTT